ACTTATTTCAGAAATTTTTGTGCATTTTAAGAAATGGGGCTACGTACCTCTGGTCAGACTGACATTTACGTGATTGTAAGACATTCTGTAAATTCCTTTTTTTAGAATCAATAAAATAGTGGCACGCACCAGGGTAACCGGTACGATCGTGTGTTTTGCTCTGTCCTGTCCAGCGAACGTTTGTCTGCTAAGGATTTTCACTGTTTTACATTTTGTTCTGTGCAAAAATAGTCGATATGTTGTTCGTTTCTTAAGCTGTGAGATTACCCATTAAAACTTCCACGTACCGCTTTGTGAGGCGCAATTGTACGTGATAGCTGAAGTTGAAACCTTCGACGGTAAACATTATTCCAGAAGATCAGCTTCCTAATTCTCTGGCTTCTAATTTTAGCGTCAAAACTTTCACATAGTCATGCGTGAGACCTAGTCATATTTGGGAGCTAAATTTGAGTTTGTTAAGCTCCTGTATATGCAGAAAATATCCTCCTGAAGTTTTCAGCCTTTCAGCTTCCCTTGTTTCCGCGATGATTTTTCCCGTCCGTAATTGGGACCTATGCTTGCGTGAGAGCTGAATTCGGGTTTGCGGGGTTGTACTTGAGCAGTGAACATTACCCTAAAATTTCAGTTCCATATTACGGAGTTCCCGAAATAGTGGATTTTCCTGCCAAAAATTTTGCGGGACCATAAGTGATGCCTGGGCGCGCGGGAGGGCTTAATTTGAATTTGCTGGGTCGTAGGTTGGCAGGTGACATTCCGTAAAATTTCAGCTTCTAAGTTTTAGTGGCTGTCGATATAATGATTTTCCCCAACAAAAGTTTTCGCGAGGCCGTACGTGATACCCGGGGGTAGGTGGAGGTTGAATTTAAGTTTTTGGAGTCGCACGTGGGCGAGGAACATTCTACCAAAATTTCAACGTTCTAGTTTTTGTGGTTTCTGGGTTAGCAGTTCTCACGTGCTCGTAGTTGAGACTTGGTTATATGTGAGGACTGAATTTAAATTTACGGGGTTGCACATGGCGTGGGACTTTTCCAGAAATCTTGGCTTCCTAACTTACTTGGTTCCCAAGCTGAAAATCCCGGATAAAATGTACTCCGGTAAAAATTGCACAAACACTCAGACAGAGGCGTGACAGTATACGTTTTGTGCAGCTGTTCCACAGCACAAAACGCATAGAAGGAAACATACTGGCAACATTTCGGGTTCCCGGTTTCCTAAACTTTAACTGCCATTTTTGCTGAAGACGCGGGTCGACGTTCCTGTATTTAATGAGTTTTTCCAGCAATGAAATTTGAGTCGTAGACTTGTATACTCGCATCGGGTGTTACGGATGTCAGTGCAAACTGCGGCATATTCATTTTGCTGGAAATATTTTTAATATAACAAGCTTTATTTTGTAAATCATGTTGCTGGCTATAGTGTGTATGTTTTGAGCAAAAATTGTTCAGGTCTACCATTATACTTGGCAGTATGATCCAGAGGAGGAGAAATT